CCGGAAAGCTATCAGCCCATTCAAATATGCAATCATGTAGTGATTGAGTTATTGTGGTATTTAATTCTCGATTTTGCAGCGGTTTGTTAATGGTGTCGCAGCGCTTGGAAACTTTGAGCACCACCAAGTTGGCTTCATTGGTGAAGTGCGTGATATGGATACGATCAAGCACAAGATGGGCCTTCACTTCTGCTACAGAACAACGAATCCACGGCCACCGGCTAACTCCTAACCGTTGCAATGAGCATCAATACATGAAAAGAAGTGTGATGTCCGCCTAAAACACTCCCATTGATACGTCTCCTACCGACTGTAGCTATGACAGTATTGTAGATAGCCGTCATGCAATCGCACATTAACGTAAATAAAATATAAGCATCCTACCAGTATTGTCCTTACTTAAAAAAAAAGATACAGACCCATTGTAGGAACTATGTTTGGTATTGGGGTTTTCAGTCCAGTAAAACAAGAAACATATAAACTTAAACTATTATCCAACGAGCGAGGCGAGGCGGCAACAACTATCTAAAAAAAATAATTATTCAGTCTAAACACAATCGGTGTGCTACACTTCATCTCGGACAAGGGAAATAGGAGTCATCAAGAGCAGGCGCATTTGGACACTGAAGTATTCCAGTATCTACCAGAATATTTGGACCAGAAACAGGCAGGTTCTTCGTAATGAAGCTTAGTACGTTCTGAACTGTTTCTAAGTGGAATTCACGAGGATTCGCGCTTTGAAGCACCAGAGTGAACCGAAAAGCAAATATTTCAATTAAAACATGTACAGTAGTATTTAGCTCGTCGTTCTGGAATCCGATTCGCATTGCAGCTCTAAATGAGATGCGGGTCATATCATAACGGCTTTCCCTGCTGCTACAAAAAGTTCCGCAAAACTTTGCTTCGACTACGAGTATTTTGCGATCTCATACATGCGCTAACTACAACTACAACAAGAGGCCGTTGGCTTTAGGCCTGGCATTCGTGTTGCTTAGCTGCAAAATGTGAATCTGAGTCTGGTACTAGGTCGTCTGCGACTTACACTATGAATACAAGTACTTTTTTTGCATTGAGACTGTGATTCAGTGTGCGGTGGTAACATATAACCAAGATTGGCGTAGTGCTAATTCAGCCCGAAGTTACAACAGCGTTTGTCCAACATCGGTTTGCGGTGTAGCCATCATAACTGTGGTGAAATCGAAGAACTGGGCTATTGAGAGGCTAGTTCTTATAAAAACCTATCTGCTTAAGCTGTCCAATAATCGATTTGATCGAATATTGGATGGCATTATTAGAAAATTTCAGAATTAAAATTAGAAAATTTCACTGTTATGTTGCAGGGCAACGACTACTCCAGTTTTCATTTATATCCTACGTCAAATGAGTTGCACTTGCTCAACTGAAAAACAGTGTATAAATAACGTCTAAATATCAGCTGCGCAGGCTTACTGATGTGCAAATCGGGCGTCGTCAGAGACAGAAATTGCAACAGCTTCTTCTAATCTCATTCTGATACTCTTCCTGATGCCACAAAAACCATTCAAGCAGCGTTCAGCTCTCTTTTTTTTGGTTCCCATTAACTCTCATACTCTTTCGTTGAAATGTACTCCATACAGGATCTCGTAGAATACTCTTCACACTTGCGCTTCATAAAACGAAATAAAATTTGTAACATCGCCAGTGCTTTCTTACGAAAAGAAAAAAAAATAGACAACAATCTTTTCGACTGAGAAAACTACAAAAACAATATTCGATTCGACACGAATGTTGGCCCAGGTTACATTCATCTCGATCTACGCAGTACTGTGGAATTAATCCGTTGTGGGCTGTCCATACCTCTACAAGGCATTCCCAGTAATAGTGGGGCCTCGTAAGAAGGCATCGCTGCGGTTGTACCCGGCCAAGGCGCAGAACACGAACATGATTTGGTCGGTTTCATCCAGCCGAGACGCTGTGGGCTAAACGAGGAAGGCTGTCTTTTTCTGATCGAGAAGATATAACTGCTTGTCAGGTAGCATGTAGGAGCTGAGACGAGCAAGACTGATAGCAGCCGAGCTCAGTTTTGGTTTCCTTCGTTTCCGACCCGCTACTCCTCAACCCGTTAACTACCTGCGAATGAAAATCAAACTATCCCCACGAGCTCGCGATCACTGAAAAAGAGCAGCAAGTGCAATGGTGGAACCTTATAATAGTGAAGGTGAACTATGTATTTATAAACAATGCATTGAGAGTAGGTTTTCGTGCTCTATATAAAACTGTACTACTCCGTTTCATATTACTTGCCCCCTTCAACTTTTAGCCTGTTTCAAAATGCTTGTCCCTCAATTACACTTATTTTAATTATGGTGTGATGATGTGACGCTACCTAATCCACGCAAAACTGAGACAGTAGAGTCAGAGCACGGAATGCTCAAAGGTAGTCTTCCCTCCTGGCGAAGCTTGTGCAAGCTTGTAGGTGATCTCACCACGTATGCACGACTCCAATGCGCACTGCAGCTCTACGTGGCGGAGGCCAACCTCCTTTATTGCCCCGCGTCGAGGTTTGCCAGCATCCGAGCGGGCCAGTATCTCGGAAACGGCCTGCTGGCGCTCTCGTGGTGTCAGTTCTCGTTTTGTGCGCTGGTTAGTCTCAATGGCTGTCAGTGGTTAGTTTCGGAATACTCCAGATATGAGATAGGTTGGGCGACGTCTGTGTCTGTTTGTCACTATTTTGGCTCGAAATGTACTCGAGTTGCCACCACGGATCGAATATTGGTTGGTAGCTGAAGTTCTGCACATAATTGAAATCGCACCGAATCCAGCTTGCCAATCCGAGGCCTTTTCACGAATCCCGAGCCAGTCTCGCAAAAGGGGACAAGTAAGACGAAACGGAGTAGTTTTGGTAGCTGTGTTTGGCAACAATAAAGATTCAGTTTTGTGTAAAACAATAGCAAATTTATACTTTATTGCCCAGTATATTCGAGCACTTTACTATCACTTTCGCATTATCTGACATCATTGTGGTAGAATTAAGCACCAGTTAGCCAAGCTCTTTAGCTCTGATTTAGTATATGTATAGTCTTAAGCGTACAGTATTTCATTCTTTTGCGAAATTTCTGTCGGCATCAGACTTTTCGAGTAATGTGGTTTCGGAAACCGTGTCGCCAATTTTAATTACGGCTGTAGCACTTTTAATTTATTAAAACGAAAGTTCAGTCGTCGTACTTGAATGCTTGGTCGCAGCCGGGTGTAGGTTGGGTTTTTTTTTAGCAAACCACTACGAGTGTGACGGGGTCGCACGGCACCTTGCGCTGAGAAGCAGGTTTCGAAGAGTATATAAACATAAGTGAACGACAGTTCACGTGTCCCTGGTCTGAGGGGACGAAGTACTCAGTTAAGGGTACGTTTAAGACTGAATGTATTTATAGGTAAGCTTAGCTTGGTTTCTAATACAAACTATAAGTCACCTTTAGTAAAACTATGTAGATATGCAATGGTTCGCTTCTAGATCCTCATATGTACCAGGTATTGCAAGAGTGACATGTCACTCTTCATTTAACTTGGGTACACCGGATTGTACCCCTTTACAGGCGGGGAGTGTCGTTGACAAAAAATGTCATTGACTTAATCGAATCGTTATTTGATCTACTGTACTAATTGGTAATTGCATCAAAGTAGGGACTGTCCATTCTTATATTCCATCGGCAGACAGTAGCACTCTTAAGCAGCTAATGTTGGTGCACTTTTCAATGGCCAAACGTTTGCATTCTCGGGTCAGTGTTCTTTTACCCTATAATTTGAAACTATTAGCGTAGACCTACCAGGTCTACGCTAATAGTGCGTCATATTTCCAGTTTCCGTAGACTACAATTAAAATGGCGTCATCGTACATACCCTAAAATTAACTTTCCCACCGACGGACCATTTTCATCGTGGTGGGATAGTTGGTAATGTGAATGTGAAATGGCATCCAAGTCACGCAACCGATTCTTCAAAATACGCAATCAGTGATTGCAGTATGATGCGTCATGTTGAGTGCAGCAAATTGTTAATCATCATGAACCTACCAGAATAACATTATAATAGTCTCCAACGGCTAAAATCACGTTTTGTCCAATCAGATTATTGGCCGCTCCTTGATAAGAGGTGGCCTTTGTTGTGGTACCCTCGTGATAAAATCCCTAGGCTCCTCCCTGCCCTCTCCCCGGAGGCGCGAGCAGGTGGCTAGAATCCTCAGAGTAAGCTGTGTGGATCTTCAACACGGGCAGTGGAGCTTAACGAATAGCTCTCCCTTGTGAGTAAACTTGCTTACTGAATATTATTTGGTAGCAAAATATCATTTTCTTTAATTAGGAATTATACGTAGAGGAGCTTTCATTTACATTAACAAAGATATTACTATCGAGGAGATCGTCTACACTAGAGGATTACACGATCACTTCTCTGATGTAGGACATCCACGTCAAAATCAAGGTCGAGTCGTACTCCGGGGTGGGTTAATGAAAGATGTTGTTGTGGCTTTGTTTGCCAGAATGTGTCTCCAAGGTGTTGATACGGTATAGTGTAAGGAAGCGACTTGTGTAGCTCGATGGCAAAAGAAAAGTGAGCTTTATTGATAGCTTAGAGTCCTAACTGCGAACTTGTATTTCTAACCGCAACCTTGCAGTTCGAAATTCAAATTCTAATCTTAAGATATCTAAGCCACATTATTGGCTGAAATGTAAAAATAGAAATTGTCATCTGAATGTCAGAAACTTCCTAGCAGATACTATCCAACAGAGACGCTGCATGAATTAGTAGACCCGAAATCAATCGTTAAATTCTAAAGAGTATGAATACCACAGACAGGGTTTTCTTTACTAATTATGTTGATCCAGTAGGATTCTACTGCGCAACATGTCGATGAGCCTCAGGCCACGATCCGACCTTCGCATGGTAAAAAGAAGTGTATTTCAACCAAATCTCACGGTTTATAGCGTGGAAAGAGTCCTAGTCGACCAGTAAATGTTGAATATCCCCCTCACATTTGCCTACGTTGGGCCAGGAGTGTCAAATTCACAAGGCGCTAGCCGCGTGACGAGCGGCACGAAGTTGATTCTCTGTCAGTCCGAGGTCACGCCAAATCGGTCTGATTGTTTCCAGGTTCATGTTACGCTTTCTCAAGACCTTGTAGAGATCGTTCGTTGTTGTACCATGGTTCAGCAAGTTTTGGGCTGCTTGCTTCGGTGACTTGCTGAGTCGAATCCAGCGGTCGAAAATCTTATCCGGACCTTTCCCACTTTTTAGCCACATACCGGTGATGTCTAAGTCCGAAAACTGTTGTTTGAGCAGTTTCTGGTATTTGAGCCACAGCATCTTGTTATTTAGTTTGGTGCTCACAGCGGATTTCCCTTTCTTCGCCAACTCGCTTAACTTCGTGATACTTAGGAGGGCTCTCTCTTCAGCATCGACATCGTCAGTAACGGTCGGGAGGGTGTCAGACCTTAGGAGTCGCTTTCCAGACGCGCCACGATATTCAGCAGCAGCGACGGAGTGAAATGAGCCCACACGTTGAGCGTTTTGTCCTGCAGCAGTTTCTTGTTCAGAGCCAGATAGGGCATTGCACGAAGCGATGACAACACACACCGCTAGCAGCAATAGATATGCCAGACGCATTGGCTTCTTGTGTTGAGGTCTCGAGTTGTAAGTCGCGGTGGAAATTGAAAAGTGAGACTGGTAGTTGGTTGAGCAAGTCGTACGATGAAAATGATTGGCTACATTCTTTTTGTTTTCATTAACCAGTACCTCTGTGCCTTGTAATGAACACTGAATGATTGTGACCTTTATCCTTACCATGAGGTCGCACTAATAGTAAGGTACGTAAACTTGCACTTCAATATGTCAACTATTTTCAAGTAATGTATCTAAAGCACAGAATCGGTAGAACTGACTGTGTGCTTTGGAAGAGATACGGTGCATCACAGCACTACTCGATTTTTTCTAAGTACCGCATCGCAAGCGAACACCCATATCTCGTATTTACACATCGGATTACTAGCAAATCTCAGAATTAGACACTAAAAAGTAAGAATTATTCCAGCGCTAAATGATAACGAAAGTATAGGGATCGGAATCGAAACGCTTCCTTATTTGGCAGAAAAGTGGTGATTCATGTAATGTGGATCGTCGTCTGGGCTAGTTGGCATATATATGCATCGTCATTATTGGTTGTCCTAGATTTATCTAATGTAGCTGATCCAGTACCTCGGGAATGATTGTGCAGCTTCTTGTATCCCCGCATCCAATAATTCCAGGAGAGAGCAATTGACATAGTTGGCAATTATGTCAATCGCTCAGGGCGAACGGCTCTGGTATTTTATGCGCTCCCACTGTTCCTCTTGGTGCCAGGCTTGACATCAGTCTATAATTAGTTCGCTAACATGGCATTTTACCTGCGGCCATCTGTTTAAAATGCAGCTTTGTCATTGGTCGTAATCGGAGTTCACTTAGGAGAAAACTCGTTTTAGGACAGGTACTGATGGATTAGTCACAAGATTCGTCAAAGATTAGTCACAAGATTAGTCTCGAGATTACTCACAAGATTAGACACAAGATTTTACACAAGATTAGTGACAATATTGGGATCACTGCCCACAAGGTTGACCAAATTCGCAGCACTGCCCATAAAACCAATTAATTGGCCTAATCGCTTCGATCTTTCTACTCCATCACCACCGCTACGAGATGAGAACGCAGAAACCTGTCGTCACCTTCACGCTGTGCATGTGAGTCTGTAATGCAGACTCGCTCCAGTTCAATATTGTATTGAATTGCCTGTCAAGTGCTGCAATAGTAAGAACGGCCATACAAGAGTCAACAATAATAATAATTGACGTAAATTCTGCAATATTTAATGCTTTAAGCTCTTACTAAGTGGCAAACGTCGTCACATCCCACATGTTCCTGTTCACACGAAGAGCATTAGAAGCTCAAAAATCGTACAAGTACGCTTATGTAAGCACCAGCGTACATTGTGAAAACAATGGCCTCGCACACAGTCGACAGAGGAAGACGGCCTGTGCCCCGAGACCGTGCTAGACAATATTTGTCTAGAATGCAGCATAGAGCATACAAGATATGCGGACAAATGGGTTTGCTGGCTTTCAGCAGTTTGGTCGGTAGCTTGAAATTCATATGTGCATACTTCTGTAAATTTATTGCAAAAATTGAAACAATATCATATTGTATTCTTGTAAAAAGCTCCAATAATCCAATTTTTTATTGCAAAACCCTATAAATATCTTGCATGGTGGAAATGGACGAGCACACCGTTTTGCTCAAATGGAAGAGAGCCAATTTATCGCGCATCGTGGAAGCCGCAAATGCAGCAGGCCTCCCTCAAAATCCTCCATGGGTGACACAAAACGAGCAAGGGCGTGTCACTATCAACTCTTTCGTGAATGTTAGAATGTGAGAACTTGAAGCTAGAGGTGGAGGGAAAAATTGTATGGCACTGAACTCCTACATTTAAGCTGCGTACACGGTGACTATCTTGGCGATGCTCAATATAATTCCTTCATCAGCACTGCCTGGGCAACGTTAACCGCGAAGTGGTTGTCAGTATTTCAACCTTAAGTGAGCGAAAGACAGCCGCTGGATCTAAGGCGATGGAAGCCCTGTCCTCGCACCATGCACTTTGACTAGCACCTTCGCGAAAGTTTAGTTAAAAGTTGTGTTTGTGCAAGGAATGTAGCAAAGAAAGCAGTCTATTCACTAACTTCTATGCATCCAGCACGTTGTGGAGTTGCTCGACAAAGTACTGAATCTCGTCGATCTGAATCTCCATAACAGCACTAGTGAAGCCATCCTGTCTAAAGTTCGCTCCAGTTTCTCCAGCAGCCAGCTTAAACGCAGTTCCCAGCGTGCTGTAACAATCACACACAAACACAAAATTCAGTACATCCGCATATGCAAACCTCATAATGCCACGTACTTTCGATGGATCTCGCCAGGTGTAGACGGACACGTCAAGCCCACGACCAGAAAGCAATTCTGTGCTGGGTTACGCGTAATAAGCACCAACGGAACTATCGATTTGTTCGTCACTGTCTCCTCCTCTGCGTCTCCGTCCTCATTCTCGCCGTCTTCCTGTGGTTTCTTCCGGGTTGGAGCGTTGGGACCGCCCCATTTGCCACTTGCACGGTGCACGTTGAGCAAAAACAAAGCCAACTGAGTAAGCACGTTAGCGTTCGCAAAGAGTTCTTGCTCTCGCTCTGGTACATTCAAACATACATAGCGGAAATGCTTGACGCGGACAAGCAGTTTACGTTCCATGATCGACAGCCCCACGCGCACAATCGCTTGCTTGAGCGACATGGCCACCTTGATGCCGCTTTCCATGAGTTTACTCGAGGTAACGGACTGACAAGCAAGCGCAGTGTGCGCCAGCATGAAGTTCTGCTGTCTGAAATCATCTTGAGAGTCTTCACCCGCTTCAGCATCTTTATCATCTCCATCCTTGTCATTCTCGTTGCTATTGGTGCTAGAAGACAAGATTGAATCCAGAGAGAATAGTCTAGTCAGCGTGTTGTTCTGGTGTTGCGTCTCGGCCTCAAAGACCGCAGCCACGTAGTTCTCAGGGGCCTCTAGAAGCGCTTGAAGACCGTACACAGCGTCCGCTGCACACAGTTGGTACTGGAAGGCAAAAGTGCGTTTGAAGGAGCCGTAGAAGAGATCATCTAGACCGAATTCTGGTGCCATTTCTTGCGTCTTCTCACGCAGCATTTGCTTCATCTCCAATGGCATGTAGGAGAACTTCTGTTGGCTTTGACGTAGCGAGAAACCCATACGCGCAAGGAACACGTGCAGTGCTGTGTCTCCTGCGCCATTACCGCTGTTACCGGACGCATTCCGTGCTCCAACACGACGAGCCTGGTCGTGATAAAGACCCAGCTTCGACGCCACGTAGTCCGAATAATACATGGCTTCATACAGCGACCAGTGACGGTAACACATGAAGCGATATTCCTCTTCAAAACTGATCTTTCCGTCGTCATATCCAGGGTGTCGATCCTCGTCTCCATTGGCTCCAGGTCCGCTGGATGGCGTGGGGGCATCGATAGCCAGTACCTCGTCCTGGAACCGCGTAACCATGAGGTTATAGTTGTCCGTATCGATCTCTTCCAGCACGAACTGCTTGGTTAGTCCAATGATGGCAAACCACAGCAGATCACGCTGAGAACTGTTCACTTGTTGAGCTAATTCAAAGGCTACACTAGCAGCAGGAGCGCCATGGAATGATCCCCTGTAGTATCTCAAGATCTCCTCGCGACGGCGTCGTTTTGCCATCACAGCACTCTCCTCCACCGGCTCGTCGAGGGTAATTGCATCCACTTGGTCCTTCTCTTCGTCGTCTTCTTTTCGTCGCTTATTACTCTGTTCCATGTCTTCGTCATCATCTTGCTCGTCTCTCTTTCGTTTATCACTATCGTTCTCCTCCTTTTCAGTATCTTGAGTGGTATCTTCCGTACCGAACTCCACTTCAGCTTCGCCTTCACTCTCGTCATCGTTATCGTCTTCTTGCTCTTCGCCTTCACTTTCTTCCTCTTCTTCTTCAAAGTCCTCGACTTCCAAGTCCGGGCCGAACGCCGGATATTCGTCCAATGCCAAGGCGCCGTCATCGAATACCACAATCTGCTGGTGTTCGTCGTATATATTAGCCAAGTGAATGGGTCGGTGGCTGTCCAATACGTAGCACTTGACGTGTGTGGGTAGTGCCAGCAGCTTGGCTACATCAACAATAGCGCCACAGTTCAGCATGATGACTGAACGCAGCTCACCACCTCCTCGTAGTGTCCCGTCGGCGCCGCGGATACGCGTCTCGCGCGCCTGTAGCACGTCCTCGTAGCCCCGAACTGCCAGCAGCGAGTAGCTCAACATGTCGGCGCGTAGCAGACGCGTAAGGATCTCAGCGGCGCAGAGAGCGTCCACATCTAAAGCCACGAGGATCAGCACGCTGCAGCTGCTGCCAGACTGCAGTGCATCGTGCTTAATCTGCCCGTACGCGGCGTGGAACTCCTCGCGCGGCCAGAGCATCGGAATTGATACAATGAAAGCGTTCCCGCCAAATTTTGGAGACGCTAAGTTCGGTTTAAGTTCGGTTTAGTTTATGACGTGTAGTTGGAGGGGTCTAATGTGGCGTAAACGAAATCTGTGTATAAATGGAGTGGCACTGTACATAAGATACTTTTCTTCTCAGGTGCAAAGTGCGTCACTCGCAACGGGACGACGTCGAGATCCCATACAAATATCCATAGAATCCTTGTTTACCCTCGAAACGGCTGTTCATTTCTATTCCCGAACCAAAGCTCCACGTGTGCGCTCATTCTCCGTCTTCCTCGCAAGCCGCCGCAAGAATCTCGTCCTTCCTTCTCTAATTTCAACCATGTCGCTTGACTTTTCCAAGGTGGAGAACAACCCGGTGCCGCTCATCGCTGAGAAGCACAACAAGAACGTGGCGTTTGTCGTGTACCGCAACAAGAACAAGAACGTGGTTGTGTACGCTGCCAACATCCGCGAGGACGGCACGCTGGACCCTGAGAACCCGCTGGACGTGTACTGGATCATGTTCGAGCAGGACGGCGCCCCCCGCGAGGAGCTCAACATGATTGAGCGCAATACGGCTTACGGTGCCACCGTCAAGCCGCGTGAGGGCCATCCCGGTGAGTACGAGGTGACGCTGACGTCGCTCAAGGACCGCGTCATCTACCTGTCCATCGTGGACGGCAAGCCTGTGGGTCGCGGCTCCATTAACGGCCAGGACGGCTGCACGCTCGAGCGCGTGTTCGTCTACTCCACCACGTCGTGGGGCATGCCCAAGGTGCAGCACATCGAGATCCACGGCAAGGACGCTGAGGGCAACGCCATCATGGAGAAGAAGATCCCGTAGACGGAGAGTCGTCGCCGTTGCATCTGCTGCAAAGCAGACTGTGAGTCCAACGGAGAGCTTGATGCTCCCAATAAACAAGAACTCAAAAAATGTAATAGAAAAAAAAATCGCTACCATGACATTGTAACAACACGACCGTCTTCTTATGTGAAATGCAGAAGCTGTAGACGAATCCTAGGACAAGCAAGTCTGTAATTTATGACTCTGAAGTACTTGCAAACTCATTATTGATATTCTTAGTGGTGATTTCGGCTACGACTGCTCCATTCTCGGCTCAACGTCATGGTCAATGGTGCTGGCATTTATTATTGGACTGCGCAGCAAGGAGGGGCCGAATTTGCATTGAATCGTATCAATTTGTATCGATAAATTAGCGAGGAACAACGGCAGGATGACGGATGTCGAGGACTCGGCGGTGAATGACTTCTTGCTGATCCTCGAGGAGCACCGCAAGAATTGCGAACGACAGGGCAAATATGTCGAGGCTGAGATCGCCAAGAATCGTCTGGAGGAACTCAAAGTACATGAAGAAAACCGACGAAGGGAGGCGATGCGTTCGCGACAGATCGCCGAGCGACTGGGAGTGGAAGAGGCTCATATGCTCGAGTTTCAGCAATTCAACCAGGTGTGGGACAGAAAGATGGACGAGTACGAACGCAACGTCGAGGAGCTTGTTGTCAATATGCGAGAAAAACACAAGTCCGAGCTGTTGGAGTTCCAACAGAAGCTGCTGGAGAAGAACCAGAAGCCGAAGTTCTCCAAGGACCTGCTCAATCTCCGACGTATCGAAGAGCATCTAGCTCGGCAAAAAGAGTGCGTTAAAGTAGCATTATCACTTTATTGGAAAGAGTTTTTTCTCACAGTATCGTTGTGATCTTAGTTATGGCGAAGCACACAAGATCAAGCTGAAATCGGACGCTTTAGAGGCCTGGGAGCTCGAGAAGTGGCGCAACCTCAAGCAACAGGAGATGTTCCAGCGCGAGGTGACGTTCAAGCAGCGACAGAAACAGGATCTAGACGCGCTTCAGAAGCGTATTCAATCCGGTAGAGAGGAACAGAAGAAACAACGTCAGGTCGATCTTGAACGGTGCGTTCCTAATCTCCTCGCGATGTCCAAATGACTAACATGTACTTTTCGTTTCAGACTGTTGCAGAGGTACCAGAATGTCAAGGCAGAGCTTCAGCAGCAACAGAACTTGGAGCGAATCCGGCATGAGAAGTTTGCGCAGCGAGCGAGATGAATTCTCTCCAAGTCGCAGGCTTAAGAGTAGCCAAAACTCAGCTAAATCGAATGTATCACTACGAGAAAAAAAAATCCGCTTACAACCATATTGAGTTCAAATACCGACGCACTTGCTGCCATATATTCTGCTTTCTCTTCTCCACTTGTACGCCGTTTTTCAGCTCTTCAGTGAGTTTCCTTCATGTCCGAAGAACTGCGATCTTCTCGAGTTTCAACGTTCTTGACGTCTCGCAACATCTTGACTGCCGTTTTTAGTCTCGTCGCACCGCCTTGAAAGCCTTCTTATTCTGCAGCACCATGTAGACCATCGGCAGTACCACGCCCACGAGCATGATCAGGAAACCGGTCACGTACGCGCCCGATGCGTACGACACCGACACCTCGACTTCGTCCATCTTCGATATCGTCACTGATTGGCGAAAAACGCACATTTTTTAATCTTCTCATTTCATCCAATCATGTATTTTTATTTACCAGATCGCACTTGGTGGTCAAATATTGATTTTGAGCAGCGATGGTGCTGGTCCGGTGGATGGTGCGCTCGCTGCAACGAGGTTCTCCTCGCCTCTTCTCGTCTACAGCTGCTGTAGAGGCGAAGGCTAAGGGCCCGCCCTTCGCGCGCTACTTCTGGTATACGACAGGTATCATGCTGGGCATCCCTGGAGCAATCGGAGGCGTGTTCGTGTACAATCTCCAGACTGACGACGAATTCTACAACCACTTTAACGATCGGTACCCGGATCTCATCGATGCGATCAACGAGTACATACCACTAAACGAGTCACTACTGGAACTGGCCAAACGCGAGGACATTGGCCCCATCGGATCAACAGAAGACCTCATTAACGAGAGTACGTGGCTGTCTAGTGCTCGAAATTGAGTGGTATACTGACAATTAGTATCAATTTGTAGCGGTGACGGTGGTAGCGGAGCTGCAGTCAGGTCAGAAGGTGAAATTTGAGGTGTTGGGCTCAGCCAGTCAGGAGGAGATCGAGACACTTGCGCTTAAGCAGTCAACCAAGCCTGAGAATGACCGTGTGGTGAACGTCACGTTTGCGGAGGAAGGAGAGGACGAGGAGGACAGCAAGACTGTGGCACCTACCGCTCAGGAGGCCTGGCCACCTGCTCCTCGTGTCACGTGGGGCAGCGCTGCAGCCGCGCAGAAGAGCAAGAAGCCTGTGGACTCGGTCAAGGAGCTCCGTCAGCAGATCGACGAGATCCGTGCGCAACAAGCGGCGCTTGAGGAGTCTAAATACGCCGGACGTGACATCGATGAAGTGGACGAGGAAATTGCAGCGTTGGAGGCGCGTAAGATCGAGCTTAAGGAGCAACTTCCACGCAAGCGCTTCTTGTGGATCTTCTAGACTCGATATGGAGATAACAAGTTGTATCTTGATTGACTGTCAATGTTTCGCTTTGATTATGGAGGCCAAAACAACGTTTTTCAGCGATCAGCCAGCATTAATTAAAGATCTAATCGCGACAGGATGTAGTCGACGGACTCTTCTGCACACACTTTGCTTTGAAACTAAAAGTGAGCTCTTTGAGCTGAACTGGAGGCATTAAAAGTTTTCATGTCTCCAGTTCACCCGGAAAATTTCGGATATTTAATGTCATGAGAAACCCACCAGCACGCCATCACGAGCTGGTGGATAATCTGCTACATCATTGCACGTTTTGAATGCGCCGTATTCAGGCATATCAAGCTCCACGATAAGATCCGCAATTGGTCGGACGAGAATCGAAATGTCGAACAGGGAAAGAAGAAACGAAAGCCGGCCATGGAGTTCGTCCAAATTGTGCGTTTCGATAGTTTTTGCTTATGCACCGCGTTCTGTCGTCTCATCTTTCGGAATAGCTATCCAGCGCGCACTTGCAATCTCACCGCAGCGTAGCCGAAGACGTATGGCGCAGCGTCATATTTCCACATCATCGTCTCCATCAATCCATTAAACTGTACTTGTATAGTGCCATTTTCGCTTTTTCTTGCCCGCGAAACACGCACACATTGCTGCCATCGTAGTAGTAGCAAAACTCTGGTTGAACGAGATCAGAAGAAGAAGTGCTTGTGTTGCGACGATAGTATCCGTTTGATGCACGCCTCAATACAGGGAATCCCACAAATAATGATACATTTTCATCGTAGCGAACTCATAGCCAGACCCGATAAGACTGCTCAGGTTTGACTTGAAATCGGAAATGTGATCCATCTTTCGGGTAATATTGGTACCCTGTACCAATCTGACGTGGTGCATTTATTACGATTTTAGCGATGCATAAGGACATTTTTAGCATGCAAGGCGCCGGGATAATCTCGCGAACTCTTCTCAACAGGACCTCAATTTGAAGCTTGTCGAAGGTGTTCTGTTGTCGCAAGCATTTTTGGCGTCACACGTGGCATTTCTGTGAGTGTACCTGTGGTTAAGATATTCTCCGAACGCGGCAGCAATTGACGAACATTCGTCATGGGCACGCTCGAGGTGTTCTCGCATTCCTATTGTGCAGGCAGGAATTCGTGCGTTTTAGTGGATGCGTGGCTGGAACTTTTCTTGAGTTTTTGCACTTTCTTAGTGGTGTGTGGTTTGCTGGTCGCTTCACGCGGTTGCTGGCTCTGTGGACGCAGACGAATCCATCGCGTAATAACTAGAACGACTCGCAGAGTAGCGTGGCGCGTGCGTCGTCGTTTACGTAAATGTGGTCTCCCAATCGCTGGACGGACGTCGCCTTTGCCACTTGCAGTGATCAAGAAAGACGCCACTGCTGCACATATTCACGGCCACAAGAACTCTCAGCAGCAAGGAGAAGCTTTCATTTTGCAGACACAGCGAATGCATCGCATGGATTTCGCAGCACAATCTTCACCACTCTCAGAAGAGCAATCACAGCCACAGTTTCCTCCAATGGTGTTCCCAGACGACCATGACGATGAGTTGTCTCCTGCCCCTCCTGAAGATGAAAAGCGAGCTTTTGTTCGTGCCAGCACAGTGGCGTTGACGAAACGAGACCAAAGCAAACCCATCTTCATAACCAGACAACGCTCAAAAAGTGCTATGGATCCTCCCAAGTCGAACATCAGCGCTAAAGTACGTGCTGTTTCCATCTCCGTAGCCCGCAGTCCACGCCACATCCTTGGTGTGAGGATAAGTGGAAGTCGCACAGACTCAGCCGATTCGTCCATGTCCTCTGAGCGTTTACGTACAAACTCTTCCAAAAAGCGGTTCCAGATTTTTAAAAAGCGAATGCCTTCTCGAGCGCATTCTCAAGCGCTTTTCAATGGGCCATCGTACGCGACGAAGAACGGAATGGCCGGACTGTCACCAGAAGACCGAGCTGAAAATGAACGAAGAGCGAGCATGCATTTGCGAGATAAGAGACGTGTTAGTGTTGGTGCTAGCTCACATGTGCAATTCGAAGTCGGTGGCGATCAAGCGTCAGTATATGAAGTCAAACTACGAGAAGTGAATCTGGTAAAACGACTAGCTTCAGGTCCATTGAGTGAGGTATACGCAGCGATCTGGCGAGATACAAAAGTCGGCGTAAAGCTGCTCATGCCTCGAGAAGGAGTGGTAGACAATTTGGAGGAAGCAGTGAAGAACTTCAGACGCGAAATTTGGGTCATGCATGCTCTGAAGCACCCAAATATCGTTAAATTACTCGGTGCAAGTCTTACACACAGCTGCTACGTACTAGTGATGGAGTACATGCCTAATGGTTCACTCTACGATTATTTACGTGATGCAGCCAACTTCTTCCCTCACCAGCTCGTAGTGACCAGCGCATTCGACATCGCCTCTGGTATGGCTCATATCCACGCTTGTGATGTACTACAACGTGATCTAAAATCCAAGAACTGCTTGCTATCTGAAAATCTCGTCGTTAAAGTATCCGACTTTGGTCTTGCGCGGTTCAGAAGTCTTCAATATGGTTCGTACACTTGGGTCGGCACGCCGTTCTGGGCCGCTCCAGAGGTTATCCGTCACGAACCTTACGACGAAAAAGCAGACGTGTACTCGTACGGCATCGTACTATGGGAGCTCGTAGAACGTAAGGATCCCTACGATAATCTCAATGCTTTTCAAGTACCGCTCCAGGTGGCAAATGAAGGACTTCGACCGGCAGATTTCACTCGACCAGCGCCTCTCGGACTGGAACAACTGATGCGTCAGTGCTGGGACGCCGATCCAGAACAACGTCCTTCTTTCGCGGACATTTCCCAAACTCTGAGCACATGGTTACGCACTAAAAGCTGTGAAGGAGACGACTCTCGAGTGAAGAGTATCGCTGAAACAGACGCCAGTGTCGACTTGTCTGCTCACATCCAACGTGGCCAAATTACAGCTACACAAGCGGAACTCCATCGATTCGCTGAGTCTCACGATGCCAACGCCAAAGTCATCCCGATCACGCTCTCTTCTCTTCGGAAAGGACTCTCTACTTCTAGACTACAGCGAACCAGATCCACTAAAAACGTCATGACTGCAAGTGAGATCGAGGAATTACGGATCAACTCTACCTTGGGAATCCCCGGTCTCGAGGAATTTGGAGGCTCGAACGGTAGATTCGGCAGTAGTGGCTCCATTCCCAACCGTAGAAGACTACCAGGCATCAATCCTGCGCAACTCGAAGTGAAACCAGGCAAACCTAACGAGCAGTAGTTAAAATGTAGACAAAAATGAAGTATTTATTGATGCTGTACATGCTTCAATGTGCTAGTTTTGAACAGTTTGGTACAATAATCACATCGTTCACTTGAACCGGTGGTAGATCACTCCATCCGGTAGAATAAACGAGCGTGGGGACGAGCAGTTGGACGCAGCTCGAGCGTCACTCGGAGGCTCCGACTGCGGCTCCGAGATCACATTCGACTCCTGTGAGACTGGCGGCTGTGGCACTGTCAAGGTCGCCGACGATTTGCCACCGTAGCTGCTCATGGAGAACGCACTGGCTAAACTGCGACTGCTGTTGGTGTGGAGCAGGTAGTTTTGCAGTAAGCGCTGGTAGTATTCGTCGTCCAGCGGAGGCGACGCGTCTTTGGGTTTCTTCACCAGTGCAGACTGACGTGGCAGCCAGAAGCTGCTTTGGTTCTGAAAGGTGTTGGAGCCACGACGTTCCATTTGAGTCTGCACTTGACTCTGTCGCGTAGTTGGGACTCCAATTCGTTGATGGAAACTGTGGTTATGAGCCAGGAGACTGTGGTTCGAAGGGTATCGTCCGAGTTGTCCAAGTTGGAGGGAGTTAAACGGGGTAGTCGACGTAGACGCCAAGTCCGCCGAAGTGAAGGAACGCAGTGACGTTCCTGCGTTCGAAGAGGAGACTCCAGAGATGATAGATGCGGTGCCTCGACGACGCATCTGATAGTGCTCTAGCACTTCCAGCATGGTGCTAGGCGTATCCACGTCTTCCTCTTCTTCGGCTTCGTGGCCGGTGATTTCTGGTTGCACGTTTGCACGTTTCTTGGGTCGAGCGTTGAGACTCAGACGGTGTTGTTGTAGCTTCTCCGACTCTCGGGAGGACAGCACAGAGATCGATGACATCTCAGCGGCTGCGAGTAATCTCTCAGCATGCTCTGATACCCTGGGCGGAACCTGTTGCTGCTGATTGGATCCATCGGTGATGGAAGACGCTGTGATCGTCGGACGGAAGAATGTCGGCGCACGCTTGCGCTTCTTAGCGAGTCGTTTGATCAGTCGAGCGTTGATTGTCGCCCCCGAAGGGATCACAGCACACACACAGGCAAGACAGAAGGTCTCGGTGCACGGTCCCGAAGTTAAGTTAGCGGTATTCCCTCCGTTAGGGTGATAGTGCGCGCAGAAGATTGGCTTCGTCACGCGGCAGGTACGACAGCAGACTTTCCAGCAGCCTCTGCAGCTCCGTGGTGCGTCCCAGAAGAAGAGCGAGCGAGCACAAACGCCACAGCGCTGTCTCGAGTGCGAATGGTCATGAGTATTAGTCTGCTTCTGACCGACTAGTAACAGGGACAAGTTCTTGGCCTGGCCACTCTGCACTGTGTTGGCCATAGAGGTAAGCCATTCAGCGATGCAGTTGTCCCCAAGTAGCGGTGACAAGCGGCCACTAGGATTGAACTGACCGTGAGCGAACATGGCTACACGGTCGTCAGCTACACGCTTGAACACGATGGCGAGGGAAATAAACCCGCGAACAAAGTGACCAGACCCGAAACCAACAGAACTGGCACTGCGGCTTCGGTTCTGGTGTCCTTGACTCACTGGAGGCCACGTAGCCCCCGTGGGAGCGTTCACATCGAAGCTAGACACTGAGATCTCGTCGGCTAAAGGGTCAATAGAATGCAGTACCATGTAGCCCATGTCTTCTCCCAGTTCGTCTTTAAACACATCCATCTTCTTAAAGCATACAAAGTCTCGGTGTCTACAGAGTCCGAGGCCAGGCAGCTTCAACGCCATCCACACGATACCCGAGAACTGGAACGGCTTGGTCTCCGTGCTGCTCTTGTCCACCTGTAGCACTCTGGCGTCCAAAGACCGAGGACTCAGCAGCATTTGCAGGACTCTGGCGGTCCTCGTGGAGTCTGCGTATAACCCATTCATAACGTCGCCTAACGAGCCATGCACAGTGCCAATAGCCTGTACAGTACAGGTCCGTTCTTGCCGCGTTTTAAGGCGGTAAACCCTAATGTCGCTGCTCTCACGCAGCAATTTCCATTGCCGAGCCTCTGCGGCAGCATGACGACCGGGAGTACTCGATCTGGGCAGCTCGTGGCTTGGCAGATTCAATGGCGAGCGACCGATCCTGACACGAGAGCGGCGTTCGCGGTCCTGACGTTCTCGGAAGAGCTGCAACGTGGCGTCCAACTGCTTGTTGCACTGCTGATGGTAGCGCCGCAGCCGCGCCGCAGTCACGTCGTTGAGCGAATGAAGTAGCGGGTCCGAGCCCTCGTCGCCCATTTCGAGCGTGAAGGCGGAGACGAGGCCATTGCTGACGGGAGGACGCCCCACGTCCACCATGCAGGCTTAAGCTCAAGGAAGTAAATTCGGTTGTGAGCCAGAGAGCAAAGTCGCGTCTACTCGTTGTGAAAATCGAAGGAGAAGGTTCAGTTGACTTAGTTTCACTATGTCGTGTTGAGACCATGTTCGGACCAAACATATCGCAGCGCGGGATAACGGCAGCTGGAAGTATCTTTTGCTTCAGCTCAGCTCGGGCATCTTGCATAGGCAGGACTAAACGATCAAGTAGCTTTTGGGCGGAAGAGAGAGATCTTTGTATTCTTATTCAGCAGAGCCACAGATCGACAGTCTGGAATGGGAGCTCATGCATAACTTTGCTTAGTGGTTGCCCCATGATTCTCTTGGTTTCTCTGTAAATTTTGGTGCGGGAGGTACCGTACCCATCTTTGCGGCATTCAAGCCAAGCCACTGGATTGCCGCAAAGCGGGAAAAACAAAGCAGGCAGCGCGAAAGCGAGCGCAAGAGCCTGGTCCGAGTTGAGTCTGCTGCGTCGGCAAGGCAGAATGAGTAGCATACCGGGTTTTCGGCGCAAAGCTCGCTCGCTCATTTAACAACGATGCTCTGCATTTGGGCCTGCCTCAACTGTACATGTATCAATATTTGCCTAAAAAATCCCAACAGTTCGGCATTGTTGGTCATTTCTCAATACTGCGGCTCATCTGTCATCATCCTGTTGTTCATCAACTTGTTGTGGGCTTTGGTCGCGCAGAGTTGGAGAGCCTCTGCCAGTCACACTCTCGTTGCCATTCATGTAGGGTAGATGCCGAGGATAATTGGCAGCGACCAGATTATAGCCACCAATTCACTTCCAGGTCGCAGTTGCAGCAGTCGCGCCTCGGTACTCGTTACCATCACCTTCGCAACATCTCGAAAGCCATCGCCTCTGCCGGCGCTGAATAGCAGACTGCTGAGCAGAGACGGATGTGGTTCAGCACTCAATAGCTTCGTAGTCACCGCGGCAGAGAATTCAATTCTCCATTGCGGTATTGGGTCCCGTAAAACGCAGGACGGTTGCTGCTTTTGGAATGCGTAGGCTGATTTGCACTGATTTTCGTGTTTTAGTCAGCGGCGCTGAGTAACGGACGGTAGCAGCACCATCGCCGATTGTCCATCGTAGCATTGATCTAACACGTTGCATTTCAAAGATAGCGTTTCGATCCCAAGTCTAGCGTTTCATGTACATACACTGCGCTGGACTAACGTTGGGGATAAACTCACTTCAACTTCGTCGACGAATCCGAGAACTGGAGATTCGGGTCTGGAGTCGAGTTACAAATTCTCAATGCGCGTTACCATGCTGCAATGCATTTCTTTCTCTTGTCACAAGACTTGTGGCATTTCGACCACTGTCTGGATGTAGCTTCCATGCGCATTGGTGACATCCTTTCAAATGAACCCCAAAGAAGTCCTGCTGGACACGTCAGAATGGTACAAGCTGTCAGTCTTCCATGCATAAGTTAATTCGGTGCTTGAACAAGTTAGCTGCACATTCGCGAGTCGTTCTAGATATTACGCGATGGATTCGTCTACGTCCGCTTAGTCAGCAACAGCGCGACGCTACCAGCAAAAACCACACACCATTAACAAAGTACTTCTGAAATACAAAAACTCTGGAAAAGATCCATTCACTAAAATCGCACGAATTCCTGCCTGCACAATTCGTGTGCGAGAACACCTCGAGTGTGCCCATGACGAATGTTCGTCAATTGCTGCCGCGTTCGGAGAATATCTTAACCACAGGTACACTCACAGAATTGGCACGTGTGACGCCAAAAATGCCAAAAATGCTTGTGACAACAGAACACCTTCGACAAGCTTCAAATTGAGGTCCTGTTGAGAAGCCGTGCATGCTAAAAATGTCCTCGCGCATTGCTAAAATAATCCGTTCCAAAATAAATTGATCGCTTCAAAATGTTATTGTACTGTACTTAACCCGTACAGGTACCAATCTATTTCCAAGCATCGATTTCAAACTTATATGTAAGAAATAGCAGTCGGTTAGCGATGCTCTTGGCGCCGTCGTTGACAAAGCGAGGAGCCCATTTCCAGTTGATGTCGACGTGAATCTGACGGTAGGCCACCTGATGGAAGCGAAAAAGGCACAGCTGCAATACAGTGGACGAGCAACCGACTTGCAGCTCTTGCTGGCGAAGAAAAACGATGTCTGGCTGACAAAGAATGAGGTGAAGAAAGGTGTGAACAAAATCACTGATTTAAAGGCTTGGGTTTTACCCGAGCATGTCTGTGGATGGTTGAGTTGTCTGCTGAACACTTAGGTTTCTTGGGCGACGAAGGAGACGCGTCTGGACATGGTTCAGTAAACGTGCTGGTGGAGATTCCAGAGGATGTTCTGGTACTAGAGAATTCAAGGCAGAGGAGAAGATTATCGGACCTTGGATAAATGCGATCAAGTATAAGCGGATTACTGTGCTGCCGTCCACCTGTGATGAATTGAGAACGTATCTAGCGAGTATTCTGGATAAACTGTTCAAGCCGGAGCCGCGTGAAAATAATTTTGCTAATACAGCAAGCATCCTGATGGATATAGCCGAACCTCTCGAGTTTGGTTGCAATGAACTCTGATGTCAATAACGGTCACTTGGATGTGGTGCTGTATCTACTCGAGCATAGAAATGAAGGATTCTCGAGTGATCCGTGACAGCTTCACAAAATGGCGAAGTGCTGTGTTCGTTCAAAACTGCCACCAAAATGCAATTGAAGACTGCTCGGAGCCACGTAACCAATGATCGCTTGGTTAATTTACAGTCGATTTACAAACAAAAACCTGCTTTCGTTCAGGCTGCTTGAGAAGTCTTGCAAAAACTGCACATCGCAAAAGCAATATCGAAATTCTAGACTGGTTCATTCATTTTGCACTTAAATTGCGTACAACAACTCCCATTCGTGATGCTGTCACTCGAGGTAACGTGAAGTTGTTGCAATGGCTTCATTTGCACCAGTTCGAGATGCATGACCCGGATTTACTCGAGTTGGCAGTCCAAAATGAGCTTGATGTTTCTCGTTGGTTATTTGAACACGGGTTCGACGTAACCTCTTTAAACTTGGTAGAAGAAGCAACGAGAAACAGGAAGGATGCGTTGTTGCATTGGCTCGTAGAGCATGGCCCACCTGTGAATTTAGAAACGGCGGTGTTCTTGACAATGGAAATACCATTACGTGGAAATAGCGTTATGGGTATCGGAGTCTGTCCGGGTGCAGCTCGTGTTAAAGGCGATTTCAAAACGTGTACTGAAAGCTGCTTTGGTCGTTGCTTACATGTACACGATTCGAAGACGCCAACGCCCAGATGAGCATTCGTGATGCTACTCAACATGCATTGAAGTCTGGCTGTGGATTCAGGAAAGTCTTTCGGATTCTGAGGAAATCAAATGGTGTTTTGCGACATCGAATGAGAGACCCAGCAGCGATGAGGAACCGATATCGCCGAAAAGAACACGCTCATATGAGTCATGCGTCATGGCAGCCAAGCTAGCGAATGTTTCATACTTAAGTACTTCGAACACTTACTACGGTATATTTACTTTTGTGCATTTATCGGTGCTTTTGAAAGTCTCTAGTTACTTCTATCCAAACTTTACGTAGCTTGAAACTGGCACCAACATAACATCGTTCAGCAAGTGTTAGCATCGAAATCCTCCATGCCAGGCAGAATAAAAGCATTCGTAAGTAAGCGCCTGAGAACTGTGCATTTGCTGGCTGGAAAGGTATGGAATATCGGATAAACGATAACTGTCTTCAGTAACTCTTCATATAACTACGGAGTCGGTAGAGGTCGGAAGCTAGTGAGATGGATAAATTTTAGTGCAACCATTTCGCAGCACTTGCTCAGAGTCTGAGTGTCGGAGTCCGACGGCGTTCAGCAGTTCCGACGGCGAAGTTGAAGTATATTCATTATCAAAGGTCTAAGCAATCAATTCTCTTCAAAATATCAAAGTAAATGCCTTTACAGAGTCATCTCATTTACAACCAATCACCTCTGCTCATTGTCTACCTTTTCAACCAACCACTGTTGTTCGTACTTAACTGTACCTCTAACGGTTTGAAAAGAATCGGGTGGTTGCCAGCAACTCCGTCACTGAGCAGCTCCAAGCATTTCCCAGTTTGGATTTGGAAACCACCTGACGGTATGTTGCTCACTACTTCGCGTCCATGACCAAGACCTGCGGATCCCGATCCTCGATGCTCCTCTCGCTCCCGACGCCAGCGCTTTCGGCCCAAGCGACGCGCTGCCAAGCCCCGTAGCCTCTGGGTGGGTGTCACGTCTCCAGAGCAGCCGTCGCTTGCAAGAAATCATCCGCGTCTTGCGTGTATCAAGGATCGGATTAGGCGTGGGCGTGGGGTCGTTTTAATGGCCTCTCGCTGATGCTTGATCCGTAGGTATATGTATGATGCATGGTTACTTGCCCAAAGCCACGTTGGTAATCGGAGCACGAGCGGGAGAGAAGGCGGAAGACCGAGAGGAAGAATTTCAACCAATGAGGAGACGAAATGGACGAGAATATTCTTCTCGGTCTGGTCTTCTTCTTTCGCGTAGTGGCCGAATCACCGACGTGGTAAGGGCATTTGTAGACTTGTGAGGCTAACGCGCTGTGTTTGACCTCAACAGAAAATGCAGATTTTCGTCAAGACCCTTACGGGCAAGACCATCACGCTCGACGTGGAGCCGTCGGACAGCATTGACAATGTCAAGCAGAAAATTCAGGACAAGGAGGGAATCCCGCCTGACCAGCAGCGTCTGATCTTCGCCGGCAAGCAGCTCGAGGACGGCCGCACTCTGTCGGACTACAACATCCAGAAGGAGTCGACCCTGCACCTGGTGCTGCGTCTGCGTGGTGGTGGCAAGAAGCGCAAGAAAAAACAGTACACCAAGCCTAAGAAGATCAAGCACAAGCACCGCAAGGTCAAACTCGCCGTGCTCAAGTACTACAAGGTGGACGACAACGGCAAGATCCAGCGCCTCAAGAAGGAGTGCCCCGCCCCTCAGTGCGGTGCCGGTGTGTTCATGGCCACCCACTTCGACCGTCACTACTGCGGCAAGTGCCACGTGACGTACCAGTTCCAGGGCGAGGACAGCGCTTAAGCGTATGGCAATCTGCTATAGGCGTTGTCTGTTGTTAAGCTTTACAGCCTAATGTCAATGCAATGCCATGGTTTCCATCCAACTTAACGGTTAATTAGAGTTTAACTGTGTTCTCCATAACTTGCCGAATATTACTTCGCATCGGGTTAATAACTTCCCATTCCTTGGAGCTCATAAATGCCGAAGTGTCGGTCTGCTGCTGCGAGTACACCATCGCCTTGGCTGGAGACTCCTGAACAGCCCCACCGCCACTAGCTCGTAGTATTTCGTTGGCCACTTCTTCGCTTACGTAGCTGTCTCCGTCTTCGATCACATCGTCGCCAAATAATGGCGGTAAGGCGTACGGGTCGGAACAGAATGTCCGTCGCTCAGCATTGTCAGCAACTGGCCGCATTTTCGACGATTTGCTGGTTGATAGGACACCGACGGAACTTGACCGCGCCATTGTTTGATCGCTGTAGGCATCGGGTGTTGCTGTGGTGTGTTCAAAGAGAATTGGTCCACACATTCGACAGACACTAACCGCATCGTAGCAAAATGGCGGGCGATATCGAGCTGCAATTTCGCGTTGAGGTGCTTCATAACCCCATTGTTCATGTAAATCCATGATACACTTGAAAGACACGCGGTGTGGCAAGTTGACAGGGAGGAACGGGAATGTACACAACGCACATTCTACACGATGAATGAAGCCGTAGCGCTCGCGGACGAGCTCTTTAGCATACGGGTCGTGCCTTGCTAGCGCTGCTTCTAGTGATGCTGTACTCCGACGTAGCGAGTCGCATTTCGCTTGTTCAACACGAAGATTTCGGAGTTCTCGAGCTAGAATTCGACCACAGGACAAGTCTCGCTTGATCTGCTCGTCGAACGCCATTACCATTGAGCTTTCAGTCCGTGAAGGATGTGGGCTTGGATGGGATGTGGCTTTGTTGTTGTCATTGCCGTGATTGCGCTTCTTCTTTGGTTTATGCTTTTTGCTGGATGAGCACTGTTGCTTGGTTTCAACAGGTCCTAACGAAGACGATGATCTTGAGTCAAGCTGAAGACTGTTGTCCATTTCGAGCTCTGAAAGGGACGATAGTCCCCCTTTGTTCGCGGATACTGAAGCGTTAGTATTGGGATGGCCAGGTGTTGAAGGAGCCCCGTATTTGTATCGTTGACTTGGCCGAACGACAGGCGAGAGCATTTGACTGTAAGCCTGTTTCAAAGAGAATGACGTCTGTTTCAGCTTGGAGATACTGTTGGGCTGCGGAGACGCTAGACATAATGTAACTGGCGGGGTTTTGACATCCAACGCTAGTGCTCCCGCTGCTCGGGCTGCCTTGGGGGACACGCAGAAGGCTAAAAGCTTCTCCAACGTACTGCTGCAACTTGAATTACCTCTAGACAGTGCTACGCGGCAACTGTTGTGCATTTCAAACCACAGTTTGTCGTCAGGGCGTGGAATTCCTTTTCGTTCGAGTTCGGCTTGCATCGCGGTTAACGTTTCTTCTAACTTGTGTCGCGCTAAAAACTCCTCCATGAGTTGCAACGCGAAGGCATACAACTTGTCCATTGGTTTTGATACAGTCACGGATGGGACCTCTCCTTCATCCTGTGGTTCACCTTCACTGACACTCTCTAGCTGAACCTTGTGCTGTTCGATACCCGACTCAGTAGATGCATTCTCATCCGCTGTCTGGGGCTCTGTCATCACGCAGCACGGCGTCGCGCTTGACCCAGTCCTTGAAGCTTGCCACAACCTAAAATTATCTAAGCAATTGTGGTAAGTAATTTATAGATTTCAATAAAAAAAAAAAAACAGATTGCGTCGGATATCAATCGATCAATAAGGTAAGCTTGTTAGTGAAAATATTCTTTTATCCTGTGCTCCTCACCAGCAAATTCACCAGCGTAGCGAAGGCGCCAGGACGTACAAAACATGCTGACTGACTGCGTTTAATTGGCCTTGGCCTTGAGTTCGGAGAAGGCCTTGGTGGGGTCGTCTCCGTTGGGGTCCTGGAACTTGGAGCCCTTTTCCTTGGACTCCTTGATCTTTGACCAGATCTCAGTGGCGCGCTTACGGTCCGTCACAAGACCCAGCAGGGCCATGAAGTCGATCGTGAGCTTGGTGGGGTTGAACTGTGCCGTGGCGCCGAACTCGCTCGTGGCGTAGTCGTACGGGAACTTGTGGTGCCAGTTGTGCCAGCCCTCACCAATAGCCCAGAGCGACACGAACCAGTTCTCACGCGGCGGGATGTTGTCGTAGAGCTGGTAGCCGTAGAAGTGCGCAGCGCTGTTGACAAGCCACGTAGCGTGCAGCACAGCCACGTAACGCAGGAAACCGAGGATGAAGAGCGCGTTCTTCCAGTCCTCGCCAACAGCCTGCACGCCCACGATGGTGGGGAAGACAAAGCACATAAATAATTGACCCCACGGGTTGAGCTTCTCCTGAACCACGACAGTCCAGTCCGCCCACAAGTCGTCGTAGTTGAGCTTGGTACCGGCCTCAAGCACACGCGGGTCCTTCTTGACAAGCAGCCAGCCCATGTGAGCGAAGAAAAAGCCGCGTTCCGAGTTGTGGGGGTCAGCCACCGTGTCCGAGTACTTGTGGTGCACGCGGTGGTCACGGCTCCAGTGGAAGATGGTGCCCTGGTTGGCCATGCAGTTGCAGAGCATGAGGAAGAAGCGCACGATGCCGTGCGCCTTGTAGCTGCGGTGCGCCCACAGACGGTGAGCACCCATGGTAATGCCCAGACCAGACAGGTAGTAGATGAAGACGAAGAGCGGGAACGTCTCCCATTTGCAGAAGAAGAAACGACGCACACCTTCGAGTGCTCCTAGGTGGACCACCGACAGGTAGTAGACCATGAACCAGTTGGCCTCCTTCTTGAACTGCGATAGAGACATCATGATTGCCGACTGTAATTTCTCTTCTGCTGCTGGAGATGCACGTGCGCAGTCGACTGGAAATCTCGGAATGGCCGAGAAACGCGCCAGCCACCGCCATAGACGATGTCGTTGAAGAGCTCCCCATAGACTCTAGGGTGGAGGATGAAGCGCATTATCTCGGCTTTTCTATGCGAGGTGGCTGACGTACTTTGGCGAAGCACCGTTGATGTCATCGGCATCGCCAAAATTTTGACTTGGCATTTGTATGAGAAGGGTTTTTGCGCAAAAGTGACGTTTCGATTCAAAACTCGATGATGTCAGGAAGACCATACTGGAACCAAGAGAGATCGATTTGGAGAAGACGATTCGAGATACATGGATACAAACGTTCGCTTTGGTGAGGACAGCCGCGCATCGAGAGGTTGTTGGTGTTGCTCTGCTGATGGCTGAAGACCAGCCATTTTGGTGTTAATATAATGCGCGATCTGGTTGGTTGTTATTAGGGTGGTTCTACGGAATGATAAACCAATCAAAGAGCGCTAAAAGTCTGATACGAAGTCTTATTGGTTGAAAGCGACGTGGGACCAATTCTTTTTTCTTACAGGGAGCAGTTCACGGCACAGTGGAAATGTCATCATCACGTCGCTGCCGCCTGCGTGGCGTCCCATGAACGAATGGAGGAAGCGCCGCTTTCGTGGCCGCTAGGTGACCATGACGCCGCCAAGTACTCACGCGATCGCGGTGCTCGGAATCCGAGCAGGATTGCTGGGATGAGAGGTGGTGAACTAAGGCTGTGCGTCGCCAATGTCAGCGTCGGTGATGGTTTGAGGAAACGAAGGTGTTAAACAGAATGGATCATGTTAAACAGCACCAAGCAGTGCGCGCGTCTGTGGGGCTGATGGTGGCGAAGACACGCGGTGCATCGCCGGAAAAGCTGACGAACTGCTGCGGAGATTAGTATTGCTTGTGGTGTATTCTTTTCCAGTGGTGGAAACTGTGTTAGCTAGTCATGATTGAGCGTCGTGAGCTAGTAGCTCGAGTTGGCGACGATTCCAACTTTTCTAAGCGGGATAATGGAGATATTACCGCACAACATTACCTGGAGATCGTGAAGGAGCAGCAAATGTACGAAGTACACTCCCGAGATTTCTTCTGTCCGTTGGCAGCATAACTGGACGTCATTTCTCTCCGTGACGGTGCGAAATGGTTACGAATACTTCGGGTATCAGTGTCACGTCACAGCTACATGTAGTGGCTTTTACCTGTGGTGTTCCACTCACCCTCAATCCACATACTAGAAGATAGCGGATGGGAAGAAAACTCAACGACAACTGAAGTTTGCGAGTCTCGCAGTCTGCATAGCTACGTCCAACGCTGGTGACTCCACACCACCCCGTTCTTCATGACCTCGCAGTGTTGCGATGCAATTCACCAGCAACGATTACAAAGGCCATGTTGCTTGTAAAAATGAACAATCTAGATGATTTTATTTATCCAAGAAATCATCACCTCCCAATGTGTGTCTACCGAACTTCCTCCTTGTCCTCCTCCATGGCATCCATGAGCTGTCGCAGCTCCTTCCACAGCGCCTCTCGGGCTTCCCCTTCTACAGCTCCGTCCAGCTTGGCACTGCGTTCCTCGTCGTCCTTAGCGAACCACACTTTAGTGATGTGTGTGTCTCCCTCGGGAACGGGCAGCGCGTGCTTGTCCTCCAGCCAGATCGGAGGACCCTTAGCCACCAGGCGACGCAGCTCCGCCTTGCAGTCGGCCTCCTGAACCTTCTTCATGTACGTGTGGAACTGCGTGGAGAGCAGCTGCTCCACAACGTCCGCGCAGAAGAGCGCGGGGTGCCATAAGCCGCTGGGCGACGTCTGGAACTCACAGTAGTTGCCGTCCTCTCCCGTGATGTCGTCCATCGTCGCCATACACTCCAGGCCTTCCGCGGGCTTGCTGTGGGTAGTTGACATGCTTGAGAATTGCAAGCTTTTCAATAACAAAATTTAGAGGCAAAATAGATTTTTGACAACTTTTTACGTAAAACGTATTTTTTAGTCTAAAAAAGGAGAAAGATCAGAGATAAGATTTTCTGATCTCCACTTCGCCTCGACAATTATTCTCATAACCAAAGATAAGAAAGCAGAAAGAGCCGTGGCTTTGGTGTCTATAGCATACTTGTACAGCAACATGCTGAATTTCCCAAACAGTGTCATGTTATACCAGGTAGTTTATATCGATGAGCTCCTCGAATCACCTTTCTTCTCAATAAATAAGCACTTCGGCCGGTTCCATATATTTTTGCGCAAATCGCAGCCCATTTCGTGTCGGCTGTGCGAAGGCAACGAGGTTCTTGGTCACATGCATGCCATAAATTGATTTTTCGCGCACAACGTCCACCATGCGGGTCGCAATGCTTTTCCTGCGGAATGAAGGGTGAACCCATAGCTGACAGATACCAATAACCGCAGGTTTTGAATCAGTAGATGCAGTCACCGCACCATCCGCAGACACGGAGGTCTCTTCATCTGACACAACCAAGTTTGAGGTGGTTTTATCCAAAGTAAAGGCTTTCGTGATGCGTTCCGTATTGACACATCCAACGACTTGATGGTCCTGAATGTATACAAAGTTGCTGCGCTGTAGAAATACCTCCGCTTCGACAAACCCCAATGCGTCATCAAGCACTTTCTTAATCTCCAGCAGTTTCTTCACATGGGCACTCGGGTCGTCTCTTCGGATTTCCAGGATCCGCGCACTGGTGTCCGGAAACGTTTTCAGCACTCGCTCCCTTTTCCACTTGGAGAAGGTGATGCCACGCTTCATCCGTTTACAGAATTTCAGATGCTCCCTCTCGTCTTCCTCTTCTCCAGCAGTGTACAGCAGTCCACACGCAGCACAAGTGACGTGTTTGCCGAAGCTGCGTTGGCCTACGTCAATGTACGATTGCGTCGAAGGACATACTGCGCTTGGAGACAGCAATTCCCTTGAACAAGTTGCAGCTTTTGGCTCTGGCGTGATGGTGGACCTGGTGGCTTTGCGTTGAGCTGCAGGAGAGAGCCATGATGACATAACGGAGCTCCTCGACTTCTTTACAGCGTCATGGCTCTCACTGGAAACTTTGCTGCTGCGCTTACGTTTAGCCGCAGACGCATTGCCTCCGAGCTTCCCACGCCGCATCAAGGCGTCGTTGACGTTTGCCATCGGCTTAGGACGACCGAATTGCGCGCCACCGGAGATTCGCGGCAGTTTCTGACAACGGATACAGATCAGGGTACGAGGGTGCTTAGAGTCTTTGTCATTAATATACCTGCATATTCCAAATTATCATCTTTAATCTATTTTAAAAGGTATCCGGTTAAAAAGTTAAAAATAAAAAAGAATTTCATCAATGAAAAGTATGTTCTGCTTGATTATCACTTTACACATATCCTATCATATTGCATATCTCGATAAATGAGGTACCCTATCTAACGGTTGGTGTGGGGCTCTCCTCTACCTATCGTAACCCTTGGCATCAGGTTCACTTTGGAATTTCCCTCCACAAGCTCAACCACCTCTTCCCCCCCCTTTTTTTCTTATCGACTATGGCTTCGCTTGGAGACTACCGCGTGGCGGACATCTCGCTGGCTGACTTCGGCCGCAAGGAGATCGAGATCGCTGAGATCGAGATGCCCGGTCTCATGCAGAGCCGCAAGGAGTTCGGCCCGGAGCAGCCCCTGAAGGGCGCCCGTGTGGCCGGCTCCCTGCACATGACCATCCAGACGGCTGTGCTCATTGAGACCCTGAAGGCTCTTGGCGGTGACATGCGCTGGTGCTCGTGCAACATCTTCTCGACGCAGGACCACGCCGCCGCTGCTATCGCTCGTGACGGCTCGGCCGCCGTGTTCGCGTGGAAGGGCGAGACCCTGGAGGAGTACTGGGAGTGCACGCTCAACGCTATCACGTGGCCCTCGGACGACGGCAAGGGTGACGGCCCGGACATCATCGTGGATGACGGTGGCGACATGACGCTGCTGATCCACGAGGGTTTCAAGGCCGAGAAGGCGTTCGCCGAGAACGGCGCCGTGCCCGACCCGAACTCGACGGACAACGCCGAGATGAAGTGCGTGCTCAACATCATCGCCCGTACGCTCAAGACGAACCCCAAGAAGTGGACTCAGATCGCCCAGCGTTGCAAGGGTGTGTCTGAGGAGACCACGACGGGCGTCCACCGTCTGTACCAGATGGAGAAGAACGGCACGCTGCTGTTCCCGGCCATCAACGTCAACGACTCGGTCACCAAGTCCAAGTTCGACAACCTGTACGGCTGCCGTCACTCGCTTCCCGATGGCATCATGCGTGCCACGGACGTCATGCTGGCTGGTAAGCGCGTGGTGATCTGCGGCTTCGGTGACGTGGGCAAGGGTTGTGCCCAGGCCATGAAGGCCGCCGGCTCCATCGTGTACGTGACTGAGGTGGACCCCATCTGCGCTCTGCAGGCGTGCATGGAGGGCTTCCAGGTGGTGCGTCTGGAGACTGTGGTGTCCCAGGCCGACATCTTCATCACCACGACGGGCAACAAGGACATTATCATGGCCAAGGACATGCTCAAGATGAAGAACAACGCCATTGTGGGCAACATCGGCCACTTCGACAACGAGATCGACATGGCTGGCGTCACCAAGATCGCCAAGCGCCAGAACATCAAGCCTCAGGTGGACCGCTTCATCTTCGAGGACGGCCACGCTGTCATCATCTTGGCCGAGGGCCGTCTGCTCAACCTGGGCTGCGCTACGGGCCACCCGTCGTTCGTCATGTCTAACTCGTTCACTAACCAGACGCTGGCTCAGATTGAGCTGTGGAAGGAGCGTGACACGGGCAAGTACGCCACCGGCAAGGTGTACGTGCTGCCCAAGGAGCTGGACGAGAAGGTCGCTCGTCTGCACCTGGACAACCTGGGCGCTCAGCTGACGGTGCTGTCGGACGAGCAGGCCGAGTACATTGGCGTCAAGCCCACGGGCCCCTTCAAGCCGCAGACCTACCGTTACTAAGTTGGTGTCTGACTCGTTTCGACTAGATGGCAGTCTTGCTGCTGTGTGCTGAGGCTGTTTGGGTTGATGCAGAGATAGCGCGTTCTTTCATTGTGCTGAGAAGCGTCTTCCTGCTGCTTTGTCCACCACAATGCTCTGTCCGACCCACGTAGCCAACGTAGCGCCAAGACAAGACTACAATGGTATTCAGAAACTAATGTTAAACATTTCATTGCAACCAATTGGTTGTCAACCCTCAATTTCCTTGTTGCTGCTGCTCTACCATCACTAATACTACTTCGAAGTATGCAGCAAGAAAAATGGTTTTTTTTTTATCATTCTCGTTCCTGTCGTTTTCTTAAATTAAATGAAGATGACGACGAGCAGCGCCACGGTCAGCAGCAAGATGATGACATAGTAGCAGCCGAGCTTGCGGTGTGCGCTAGCAACCTTCCGTGCTGCCTTGGTCTGCTGCTGCACTGCAACTTCGGTGTCGCTGATCTGCACGCTCACGTGTTCCAACATTGCGTTCTGCGAAACAACCTCTTCGTTCGTGGCCTTGGCTGTGTTGTGGAGACGCTTGACGCCCGTATAGATCGCATCCAGTTGCCGTTCCTGCATTTTGACGCACCCAACGACATCGTTAAAAATGATGAATACATGTACAACTGCGCCTCGAGCTAAAGTGCTAACACATACCTGGTCATCGGTAGCCTTGTCCATCCGCTCCTGGAGCTTCGGCGTTGACGCTTCCTCGAACTCTCCCGTAGGCTGAGCCTCTCTTATCGCGCCATCCTCCATCATCGTTGACAATTGATCACTTCGGGTCTGTGCTTTCCACTTTTTTTCTTCACCACGTCCCAAGGACGGAAATATACCAAGCTTGAAATAAATTTCTTAGAGTAGAAATGCAAAGTCTATTTTTTTTGTTCTGGCTGAATGGCTACACTACTTACTGTTAGTTGTCGTTGGTGGCGTTCATATATTTCTTGAGCGGCGCGACAGGAAGCGGTGTGGCCAACACGTCGTCCAGGTCTTCGCTCTCCATGTTGAACGGTGTCTTGGCCTGGCGGAAAAGGTGTCGTGGTCGAGGCAGCAGTACCAGAGCAGTAACCTTGCCTTTGAACAGCTTGATGTTGCGTAGTGACTGGCGACTCAAGCTGTCCCAGACATGCACAGCACCGCTTTCATCTCCTGACACTAAGAAGGCGCCACTAGTGTGAATCTGCAACGTAGTGACGCTGCTTTCGTGGCCCTCGAACGAATCCGGCAGCAAAGCTTCGGGACCCCACGGCGCTACGTTGGCAGACGAAGAACCTGTCGAAGCATTGGCGACACGCGCCGTTGCCGCCGTGACGGATGTGGCAGCAGCATTCAAGTCCAGCGCATAGATCTGTCCATTGCCACAGCCCATGAATAGCCGCTGCTCCATGGGGTCAGCAATGCAGACGTTGACGTACGACGGACACGAAACGCTGTACAAGCATTGGGACGAATTGAGCGACCAGATCTTGCACGTACGATCCAGAGAAGACGTGTAAATGCGGGCGTTCACACCGCCCAGACCCACATGCAGTGATGTGACGGGAAGCACGTGGTCTGTGAAGCTTACCACCGGTGTGACGCCCTGTTGGAAGCTCGAAGCTGCATCTGGCTCGTCGAGTAAGTCCACAAGTCTCCAAACGTGCACCAAAGCGTCTTCGCCAGCCGTGATTAAATGTGAATCATCTGACGTAAGCGCCAAAGCTGATACACGCTTGTAGTGCGCGTCGAATACCGTCACCAGCTCGCCGGTCTTGACGTCCCACACGTAAACTTTGCCTGACTCGGCGCCGGCAAAGAGAAAGTTGCCACAACTCGAAGACGTGATAGGACCCATCTTCTCGGCTACGTGGCACTTCCAAACGGGCATGTCCTTGCCCCAGTTCCAGAGGTTGAGCGCCAGCTTGCCCTCCTGCACTGCCACCAAGTGATCGGTGCGCGGCACCGGGTGCACACCATTGAGCGCCGAGCGACAGTTCTTGAAGCAGTACAATTGCCCACCAGTAGACGCGTCGGCGACAAGCAGCTCGTTCTCCTGGCTCGAGCCCAGCAACAGCACGTGGTCCGCCAGTGCAGTCGTCATGCTTATCGTAGCTCTTCGATGTGAATGACAAGCCGTTGACGACCAATACCTTTCTATATTATGATTGGTTAAAATTATGTTGATAGTTTGTTTAATTGGATGAAAATTGTTTTAATGTGAGACTTGTGTCATTTCGGGTGGTGACCATGGGTCGTGAAGGTGGTGATAAGCGCAAGAAGCAATGGATGAGCGGCCGTGACGGCAACCAAAAGCGTCATAAGGGCGCCCTGGGTGCTGCAGCGAACGCTAAGGGACATGGCGCTGTGCTGGTGACGTGCGATAAGATCAAGGAGCGACAGAGAGTTAGTGACGCGCTCAATATTCTGAACGAGGCTGCTGATCGCTTCTTTCCAGCGGCTGAAGAGGATAATAAGGACGAGGAGGAGGCTGCAGCCGATGAAGAAGGAGATTCAGTGCAGAAGAAGCTTCAGGAAGAGATTGCAGCGCTGCAAACGCAAGCCAAGAAGCGCCAGACTGGCAGGTTCACGGCTCTCGATACTGGCGTCAAGGGCGCCGTGTTGATCCAATTCAAGGACGACAATGTGTCCCCTACAGCGTTGCTGAGCAAGATATTTGAGGAGGTGGAAAGCTCGAAGGACTTTGCGTCCAGGTTCATTCAGAGGATGATTCCTTTAGAGAAGGTTGGATACTCCAGTGTGGAGGCCATCAAGGAACTTGCTGCTCCGATGATTAAGGCACACCTGGAGGCGTTTAAGGCAGAGCAGAAGGCTGCTGGTAAGGACGAGGACTTTGAGTTCGCTGTCGACTTTAAACGGCGCAACTGCACCAACCTGAACAGCATGGACGTTATCAACGCGCTCGTGGAACTGGTTGGTGAGGATAAGACCAAGGTGAACCTCACCACGCCCCGTTCTGTGCTGATGGTCGAGGTCTTCCGCAACACGTGTGGCTTCAGCATCTTGACGGATTTCCACCGATTCAAGAAGTACAATGTACGGTCGATCATTGACCCACCTGTACCCGGCCAGCAAACAGCCAAGAAGGGTGAAAAGAACACTAAGGCTGAGAAGGATGCAGTCAAGACTGATTCAAAGGAGGACAACGAGAAGGAAGAGCAGGATACCAAAACGGACAAGACGGTTGAGCGGAAGAAGGAATAGATTCGTTTTGATCCGATTAGTTTTTCGAAGCAAATAGATTACTTACGACTTATGACTACTACAACTAGTAGATTAGAAAAAAAAATCTTTGGATAACGAATCAAGCCTTGTTGTGTCTTCATAAAGCAGCTCGAAGCTGCTTCAGAAAATGTAGATAAGATTTGGAAATCATCATCTTCGTCATCCAACATGCAATACTATACACATACATCCCATACTGTGGAGTGCACTGAGTTCGTCTTGAGAACGGATCCGTGTTTTGTTTTCCATGCTCACGCTTTGGTTCGGAGAATGTAGATAAATAGAATAGATCGTCATCTCCGTTCTCTCGACGCTCAGTACACTCCACGCTCTTTCACCTGCATTCCTAAAAGTCTGTAGCTCCTGTATCCCTGCCACCATAAACAATAGTCGATGCCCAAGTCGAGATGTTCAATGCAAACGAAAGAGAGGGAGGAACAGCCATTCCCCCTTGCTCTTTAACTGCATTTTCGGTTTTCCAAGCGAAGACGCGACACCTAGAGACACGTCATTCCAGTAACCTGTTCCTCTGTGCCCTTCTGCATCGCGCCCCAATCAACCACGACCGACCCTAACTTGCCACTCATCCAGAAGAAGGAAAAGAAGGAAAAGCGCTCCATTTTCTTCCATCCTCGGCCTACACCGAGCATTGGCGATCACTAGAAGAGCAGCCCGCAGGAAGGAGAAACTCTCCGTCGACTAGTGTCCATGGTGCTTAATTTATTCCTCCTGTAGTATCATTGGCAACGACATGATAAGCTATCTGATTGTAAAATTCCAAACAGGAATCAGATCCGAACCTTGTTCTTGTTCTTGCGGTTGCGGTGCTTCTTGTCGAACTTCTTGGCCCAGTGCTGGTTGCGCAGGAACTTAGGGTCCAGCTGTATTAAACAACAAAGTGTCAGTGTTTTCTGTGCCTGGGTGGCGTTTTGGGATGAAATGGGGCGAAACGTACGCCGCGCGTGGAGTGGAAGCGGTGGTTCTTCGGCTTCTTGATACCGTTGCGGTGGGCCTTCACCGTGTTGTTACGGGCGGTGTGGTTTTTCTGCTTGACCATTTTGGCGTCGGATTGGCTTGGTTTTCCTACTGTGGCGGCGTTTTCGACTCGCTTGGGTCTGGCAAAGAGGGCTACAAACGCTAGCCACCAGTCGATTCACCAGAATGTGCGCCACATACCATGATGTAGACCACACAGTCGAATGATTCTTGCTTAAGTTCGTGTATTTAGAAATGAGTTTGTTTTTTAGAAACAGTGTCTTATTTTTGGAAAACCTCAAATTGAAGCAGTAATAAAACCTCGTATGGTAATGGTGTGGTGCACACATCAAGAACTTGGTTTTTGTATTGCGCTGTTTTCGTCGTTTCAGCTGAAGGGGGGAAGCCATAGCTAAAATCCCACGTGCCGCGACTGTACGGCAGCATCACAAGCTACTAGCGGAGACAGACAGAGATTGCCATGTCAGACCCGTTCGGAGACAGCAACCCCGTGGAGGACGATGTTCCGCAGGAGATTTCGGACTTTGCACCGCCTGCCGACAACAGCGGAGAGTAAGTTTCAATTTGGAAGCTCGAGACAAATATCGATGAGATTTTGAGCTAATTATTATTGTGTGAAGTTTCTACGAGGTTGAGCCGACCGAAGCCCACACAAATGGGGAGTACGAAGAGCACACGGAGCAGAGTTTCGACCAGCACACGGAGGAGAGCTACCAGCCCATGGACTTCGCTCCCGCCCCCGTAGACACGCATGCCGACTTCCAGGCCGAGATCCCGCCTGCCCCCATGGAGATCCCCGCTCAGATCCCCGCTGTGGAGGAGGACAACGAGCTCACGTACGTTTATAACGGACTGGGAGTTATATAAACAAAGGCTGATAATTATTTTTGCTACTATTGACAGCAAGTTTATGCGTGAGTACGAGGAGAAGATCGCGCTGAAGGCACAGGAGCAGGAGAAGGTGGCAATTGAGTGCAAGGCCAAGGCCGAGGAGGACATGGCCCAGTTCTTGGCCGAGCGCCAGCGCATCAAGGAGTCCAAGATGCAGTCCAACCGCGTGTTCGAGCAGGCCACACTGGAGAAGATGGTGGCGGACCTGAAGAACGAGAACCCGTGGGAGCGCGTGGTGACGCTGGTGGATCTCGAGACGAGCCGCAAGAAGAAGCTGGACGCTCTGAACAACAACAAGAAGGACTCGAAGAAGCAGGACCCCAAGCCCGTCGCCGTGCCCGCCAAGAAGACACCCGAGGACGAGGAGGACGTCTCTAGAATGCGACAGCTTTTCGTGCAACTTAAGGCTTCGCCGCTCGAGCAGACGCGTGCTGACGCCGTAGCTGCTAATTAGACGATCTGCCAGCACGACAGAGATCAATTTATCGTCTCGAGCAGGAAATAATCCGAATTTAGGGATGTGAGCTGGTCGTTTGATTTTCTGAAGATACTTTTTTTTTCAGCCATGACACGTGTTTGCGTTGTGCCTAGGCTAACAAAACTACTTTTATTGACAATTTTAATTGGCATGCATTGATCTGAGTAACATTTCGGCACGCAAGTGTTGCACGTCGACCACAGAGCACTGATTCGACATGAAAGCAGGCAGGCCAGTGTTCCTCTTGCACCGATAAAAGACGAGCTCTGATGGAAAAGACCAAGTTGTCTTCTGTGCGGTGCAATTACAAGACTTCTACGGCTTCTACTGTAGTTACATAAATATTCGGAGTATGTGAGCTCGCAATTGTTGCACACCGGCCACGGAGGAGTGGGGCGCGGCGTGAAAGCAGGCGAGCAGAGTTGGTTTAGCACCAAAAAAAGAACAGCTCAGACGGAGAACCAAGTGAACTTCTGTGAGGTGCGACGAGGTTGTTGGCCGACAAGAAAGCACGTCGGACACGCACCGATCCAGGCGAAAACTAAAAATGAGAATGGCAAATTATTGGACTGCCGCGTGTCGGCCAGTCGAATGCCCACTACTTTTTATCTTGTCCGAAGTAGGGCATACAAACAGTAAGATGATGGATATTTGATGTGGAGCACTCAAATAATAAAACTGTGACGTGTGAGAACCTTTTTGCGAACTTCTAGCGGAGCAATACGAAGTGTTGAGAATAACGGCAACTTAAAGGCTACGTGCATTCATATCTCTAGTTCCGAGCAAGTAGCTCTTCAATCCAACTAGATCTTTGTAGGATGCTCCTTAGTACGTCGATCCGATGTCACCCACGCGGATGTTCATGAACTTGACGGTGGCATCCGGATGCTGCGCCTCCACTTCCGCAGGTCGACCGCCCGACGTCGGGCACGAGCCGCGCATCACTCCAGGCTTGGAGGAATCAGCGTCAGCGGGGTAGCTGCTGTCGAGCCAGAGGCAGTAAGCAGCGTGATCCGACCACAGACTCATGGCCAGCGTCATACCGTTCGCCATTTGCTTGCCCATGCGCACAAGTCCACCCTTCGCGGCGTGGTCGTCCCGGTCACCGAAGAGCTTCTTGGACGCCTGGCACATGGAGTCGGTGATGGAGTTGACGTCACTCAAGCCAGGCCACGCGCTGTTGGGCATCGACACAACACGGTCATCCTGTTTGAACAAGCGTCGGATCTCCACGAGGTCACCGGTGGCAGTGTTGTCACTAGTGATAAACTGCGTGACGATCGTGAACTTGCGAGTGGTGTCAATGGTGAACTGCGAGCCAGGACCGTAGAAGGTCTCGTTGCCCATGCGGAACGGGTTGAAATCGCAGCCGTCCTTGTCACACACGCCCTTGTAGCGGTTGCCATCACCACTGCCACACTCCTCCGGACTCGAGCAGCGCGTCTGCCCCTCCGAAGTGCACGGGTGCGAAGTGAAGGCGTTGCTCATGCTGTTGGCCTCCCAGATATCCAGCTCCGCACAACAGGCACCGTACTTGCCACCACCGGAGTTCTGGCTCGTGGCACCCCATTCCAACGTGTTGGCCTCGCCATTGATGAACTTGATATCGTGCGGGCACTGGGCATCGCAGTAGCCCGTACCGTAGCTTGCTCCAGCCTTGTTGGTCGGGAAGCGTCCGCTGCCTCCATCGGCGTCCATCTGCACGAAGTAGAGCGCACCGTTGAGTCCACAAGGGAGCTTGGAGACGTCCACGTCGAGAGTAAATTCTTGGTTCAGCAGCTTGAACTGCTTGTACTCGGAGCCCGCAGTATCGAGGAGATAGACGCGAGAGCCAACGTTTGCGCCGTACGGGGTCTGCGTCACCAGCTTGAGTTGCAGCTCGTCGGCGGACGTGGTGATACCGTACGTGCCTTGGTAGTCGGCACCTTCGAGAGCGCAGTTCTTGGCACAAGCTTCAGGTGTCGAGCACAACGTGGCGTCCCACTGATTGCCGGAGTAGCAGTTCTTGTAGTCGCCGACTTGGTGTAGCCAGCGCCAGTTGGCATCCAGCACGATCGACGTGGACTCGGTCACGCAGCCGTCCGACTTGGAGCATTGCTGGGACGTCAAAGGAGGGTGCACTTCCTTGGTGCTCGTTCCAGCCTGTTGAGCAGGAACCAGGGACGATGCTAGCGCCAAAGCTGCGGCCATGAGCGTGAGGGCGGGAGTCGAGAACTTCATCACTGGGTTCCTTGAGACTTTGGATTGAACGGGAGTTGGCAAATTGAAAAGTGAGCGTGGTGGCAATGAAGGCTAGGGGGCAAGTGCTGCTTACCAACGATCGTGGTATCGCAACACCAAGCATACTCAGATTGGACTGGCGTAGCTGACCATCTTGGCGCACGCTGCGTTCTTAGAGGGTTGGTGACCTTAATATCGCTGCAAACCTTGTTGCTGTGGATGGCTAAATGATCTCCATTCTTTTGGACCACGTGTCGGGCAAGTTGGAATGGGATAAAGCCTCGTATCCGTCTGGGTGGCGCTCGATCGATGTAGATGGTAGTTCTGCGGCGATGTTACAGTTCATACCTCCTTTCATAGGAAACCCGCGTGGCCGTGCGACGAAGAAGTCTGAGAACGAGTTCAATGGCGAAACAACGAGCCCATGTGACTTCAATCAGTGTACAATAGGTACCAATTCGTGAAAGCAGACGCGGATCACCAACAGCGCTGTGATGCGTGCTATGACAGCACGCATCATGTACCATGGTTCTCAGATATTTAACTGCATGCTGTGGTCGCTTGTCCAACGAATACACGGAGTTGCCTCTCCGCTAGAAGTTCGCAGAAGCAAACGCATTCTCACACGTCACAGGTTTTTATTCTGGTTGAGTAATCTACATAAAATAACTGTTGTCTTAGTGGTAATAACCCTGACTCTATGGTTTTCTAACAGCATTATATTTGTGTACTCTTGGCGACAAAAAGTGTACCACGAGAAACAGGAAGAAATACACGCTAATGCAGAATCGTACACAAAGCGCCTGAATGCACATAAAAGATATGAATGGCGCACAAGCGGTAGGGAAGAACACACATCATTGTGTTTTCGCGGAGGTCGTTACCTAACTTGTACACAGAGGAGCTGAATTGCGGACATTGTATTATAGCCAATCTTGTGGCCGCGTACGACTGTTAATAGCCTATCGCAGCGCCTCATATCGCAATTTCCCACCGAGTCAGAGCTGCCAGGATATCTGGTGGCTTCGCAGAGTTCTTCGCGGGGAACCGGTCTGGGTGGTTGTCGGGGACTTGTTCCGAGCACGATCGGCTATGACTCTGGAGTGGACTAAAGTACGAGACTTTGTGGACACCGCTACTGCCGAGGCTGCTTTGGAGAATTTAAACAGTACAAGAAGGGAACTAGTCATGCCATCCCCTGCACGATATGTACTGTGGCGGCGCCTCACGAAATGCGCTATCAACTGTTGAGCTTCTCATCCTCAAAATGCAAAACTAGCGACGGCTTGCCAAACTGTCCGTGGCGTGGGCGTGTCATGGAGTGCGACAATACACGAAAGTTCACCATTAACGAGTGTGGGCTATACCCAAAAAAAAGTTGACAGAAGCGCACAAGACTTACATCAGAGAGATGGCCGCTTAAGGACTTCGACCCGGCCGTATTCGAAATTCGATGCCTCGAAAGTTTAACGTTCCAATTGATGATCTACCAGAGTTGAAGGTGGTGCAAAATTTCTCGAACTACTTCCGCAAGACAAAAATGATGAACAATGATTTCGTGGACGAACTTGCGAAGTATATACGCGGATTGGAGTATAATGGAAACGAGGTGGATAGCGCTCCTTTCACCATTAGTTGGCACAAAAATTAAGATGGTCATATCGCAGTTGGAACAGGTTCGAACGAAAAACCTTTTGTGGTCGGTGTGACGTCGAAAAGGCTCCTATCTCGGTTGGATCGGCCTGTTGAATCATTTGTTTTCCATGTGGATGCTACATTTAAGGTTGCACAAGTTGAATATCCAGTGCTGGTTTGTGGAATATCTGATCGATGCCGTTCTTTTCATCTAGTGACTTTGTTCGTAACTTCGCAGCGTCTAGAAACACAATACATTTATTTGCTTAATGCACTGCGCTTCGTGTATTTTCGTGTCATTCAAAAGGCTTTAAAGGTGCATTACATGATGGGAGACGCTGAGGAGGCCCAATACAATGCTATACAGAGCACACTAGGCTCTGATAACGTGTTGGAGATACTGATATGCTACTATCACGTGGTTGCCAATGTAATGAAGCGAACGAAGATTATGGAACCATACTTCGCGAATAAGGTCGTTAGCGATATTTACGACATGCACTTTAGCCGCAGTGCGCACGAATGTGCAACACTTGCCCGTGCACGAGTTGCTGAATAGAAAACATCGCCTGCAACGAAGGATTTTGGTGTCTACTTCCAAAAGCAATGGCTGAAGGGAAAGTTCGTTAGATGGCTGTGCTTTCAAAC